AGGGGAAGACCCTCTATGAGGTGGATTGATTCAGTGACTGGGGTAATCGGGATGGGAGTGTCAGAGGCAGTGCGATTGGCACAGGATAGAGGAGAGTTTAGGGCTGTTGTATATATAGGGTCGCTATGAGTCACAAGCGAGTCGACGGCACATAACAACAACAATCTCTTCATATGAGCTCTGGTGGCCTAGTCATAAGAAACTGCACTTCAATCTTAAAGGCAAACCCACAGCTACTGCGGGGGGAGAGGGGGAGATGGAGAGGGAGTGATGGGCCAGCTTCTCCCTTGTAATATACTGCCTCTGAAATCCCACTGAAGGGTCAGCTATGGGTCAGTTCTGACTCAACAGTACATAACAATGTCTTTATAACAATGGACTGTGGTGAGGAAGACACAGGCTAGGGCAAGATTTAGATCTGTTGTACAGAGGGTCACTCTGAGTTGTACTTAACTTGATAGCGCCTAGCAACCACAAAAACAACCTTTGACTTGGTTAATTTTGTCCAAATGTTTGAAACTCTGTTCTCTCATCTTTCCTATTCTCAGTTCAATAGACAACAGGATGACTACTAGGATGAAGAAATTCTCTTGAGAGAGTAACTTCCCCAACAGAAGATTTAACATGCTTCCTATTTTCTCTTCTCTGTGTTTTCACAGGCTCAAATGCTTCTGTGGTCTTATTCCTTTTGGGAATTTCTTCTGGGGCTAGAGACTAATCGGTATGCAAATATGAAATATCTGAAAGTTCTAGAAAGGAAGGGAATCTGTTCACAAAGTCCTGTTACTGCAATTCAGATGAGAGATGATAAACAGCTGCTGGGATTTGACCTTCACTCAACTTCCACTGTGCGGCTCATGTGATAGCAGATTATATTAATTTTTTTCTTTTAGATGTATATGTATCTTTGCCAAAAATTCCAAGTTCCCATAAATCCCAAGCATATCGACCATCACTCAGTCTGTTTCTACTCTCTCACAGGCAGTTCTGGGAAAAGACAGATTAAAGCATTTCTTCGGAATGTTAGCTTGACAGAAATGTTATTTAGATTTTCTAAATAGCCCAAATGCCTGGGGTGATCCGAGAGGAAATGCTGCAAAGTCTAATGTCTAATAAAAAGGACGAGTTATGTTCACTCAGGCCCAGCTGTAAGGGAAAAACAAAAGTCCTCACTATTGTCCTGAAGGTCAAAGCTCCGTCATGATCTCTTTCTCTGGGTCTTCCTGGATTAATAAACAATAGAAAAGTAGGTAATAAGTTTTATACTTACCTTCCCTGTTCAAATTACTGTCTGCTTTCTTTTTCCTCATTGGCATAGTCTGTAGAGAATTGTGCTGCTAACCCAAAGACTGAAACTCCAGAGGTTCGAATCTGCCAGTAACTCCAAGGTAAAAAAATGGGATTATCTCCACCATGAGACTGACAGCTGTTGGAAGCCCACCGTGAGGCAGGACTGGCTCCACAGCAATGAGTGAGAAGAGGATCCAGGATGATTCGGGCCCCTGTTAAACAGTGCTGGGCCCAAGGCGAGGGGCAGGAGGCCCCAGCAGATGTAAGGGTCAAGAGCATGATGGGTCAGAACGCACCGTCCTGGGTCATATATCGTCTTGCTCTGGCCTGGGCCTTCCTATGTTATCTTCAAGTTTCTTTTCAGAACTTATTCTAGCACATTCCACAAAGTTCTAGTGAGGGCTCTCTTAGCTTATATAAAAGGCTGAATTACCGTTCTCTTTGTCAGACTACTTCAGAAGTGCAGTTTAAGAAAATGGTTAAAAGTGATATGTGATAGGGTATTATGGTTATCACATGAGTCCAGAATGAAGGTTGCATAGTGGAGTGTACTCGGGGCGGTGGTAGTCGGGGGCAGGGAGGCAAGGGGATTTGTATACTAATGAAAGAATTTTTCTTTTACTTTTCAAAGAGAGGAGTGAACTGGGGCGGGGGGGGGGGGCTTGGCAGGGAGAAAAGTGCAACAGTGAATGAATGAAAATCCAAAATCTCTAAAAATATTCATTAAAATTAATAAAATAAAATTTAAAAAATCTCTCGAGTATTGAGGAACACTGTTGTAGGTTTTAAGAATAAGATGGGTCTGATTCAGTCCATCATTTTTCCAATCGCTTTCTGTGAATCTAAGAGTCAGACAATAAACGATCAAAGATTACAAAGAAGAATTGATCGATGCCTTTGAGTTGTGGTACTGGAAAAGTATGAAATATCCTATGGACTACCAAGAGAACAAATCTATGTTGGAGAAGGTACAACCTGAGAGTTCCTTGGAGGCAATGATTGTGATGAAGCATTATTGCACATACTTAGGGCATATTGTTGTTATGTGCTGTTCAGTCACCCGCAACTCATAGTGACACTATACATAATAGCTCTGAACCCTGTCCTATCCTGAGCCAATCTCACTGTCTCTGATATGCCTGTCCCTATTACCCCCAGTCATCGTGTCAATCCATCTCATTCAAAGTCATCTTCTCCTGCACTGATCCTCTACCCTTCTAAGCATGATGTCTTTCACCAAGGACTGGTTCTTCCTGGCAACATGTCCAGAGTATGTCAGATAAAGCGGGAAAGTCCTTGCCTCCAAACAACAACTTGATTTCATCCTCTTTAGGACAGACTTCTTTGTTCTCTTGACAGTCCATGGTATGTTACGTGACCCCCGAGAACCAAGCGGACAGCTGACAGTTCTTCAGAGGATGAGGAGGAGTATGTTGTGGAGAAGGTGCTAGACAGGTGTGTGGTTAAGGGGCAAGTGGAATATCTGCTGAAGTGGAAAGGCTTTTCTGAGGAACACAATACTTGGGAACCTGAGAAAAACCTTGATTGCCCTGAGCTAATTTCTGAGTTTATGAAAAAGTATAAGATGAAAGAGGGTGAAAATAACAAACCCAGGGAGAAGTCAGAAAGTAACAAGAGGAAATCCAATTTTTCAAATAATACTGATGATATCAAATCCAAAAAAAAGAGAGAGCAGAGCAATGATATCGCTCGGGGCTTTGAGAGAGGATTAGAACCAGAAAAGATCATAGGGGCAACAGATTCCTGTAATGATTTAATGCTCCTGATGAAATGGAAAGACACAGTTGAAACAGACCTGGTCCTTGCAAAAGAAGCTAATGTGAAATGTCCACAGATTGTGATAGCGTTTTATGAAGAGAGATTGACATGGCATGCATATCCTGAGGATGCAGAAAACAAAGA